GGCTGTAGCATTAACCATGCTGATGGCCTCAGGATAGTCTGTGTGCTACCCTTTCCAGCCTGACTTTCCCATGGGTAAAGTGAAGATTTATATTTCTTAAGACTATTGAGAATGGCTGGTATTTGCATAGAAAATGCTGAGCTCTGAATGTTAGTCCTGAATTTGCTTTTAATGTTACTGGAACGCATAGGCTAAATTAGAAAGTACAAAACCACCATAACAAAAATATTGCTGTATTGTGTTGTAGAAGTTGGTTTATTGTTCCATGACTCCTGCAAATAAAAGCATGTTTTTCTAATAGCTAAACTGTCCCTGAAGCCTGAAAATGCAACTTTTTTTTTTCCCCCTGACTAACAGTAAAAAAGTTTTCACTGGCTTAGTCTGTTGACCTGTGAAACACATTCTCCAGTTTCTTGTGCTGTAGGTCTTGTGGCAGTATGGTGCTATTGGGGAGTGTTGATAAAATGGACAGATGTGGAATATAGACAGATCTTTAAATAGATCCCTCCCTCCACTGCAGCATTTTTAAATACTGCTGAGCTCTCCTCTTCCTTACTTGCAATGCTGCTTCATTTCTTGAATTCCATGTTGTAACTTAAATCTAAATTAGTGTGTCAGCTTGGGAAAGCAATATTGGCAAAATGTTTTTCTTCTCTATTACCTTGGTCTTAATGACCGCAGAGGCTCGTAGTTGTGACAAAAGCTTCGTTACTGAATAAGCAGGGGTCTTGCTGTGTTTGCATTTTTCTACTTAATCAGAATCATCAGGCATCGAGTATGTTCTTTAAGAACAATAGGCCTAAAAGCTAAAAGAGTTTAAGTAAATGTTTTCAAGATGAACTAATTTGAATGAAAAATAAAAGTATGTTTAAAACAATAATGTTTGCAAGACATCAGATTAATTCTTATTTTTATAATCCCAGCACATAAATGTTATGGAAGCTAGCAAGGATGGCTGCAGGGAAGAGAATCTCATCTCCACTTAAGCTTGTTATATTTGGGTATTCTTCAAATTCCTGCTATGTTTTACAGCATGAATATACTCTGGACACCTTTTGATGCTTTTTGCTTAAATTCTGAGTAATTTTAATAATTAGGTGGCACCTTTTTCCTTTCTTTTGAAGAATCCAAAGTCACAAAGCAGAGGAATTTCATTCTGTTTACTGCCAAAATGCTGATACTCTAGGGCTTTTCAGCAATTCATAAAGTGCTACATAGCAAGTTAAAAATGCAGTGAATGCTCTGAGCAATTAAAATGTCAGGAAGAATAAGACAAGCAGAGTTTAATTATCTAAATTATTTTAAGATACCAGGGTTATAGCTACACTTGCAAAATGCGCTATGAAATACGTAATATTTGTTGCTGGATAGGACACCTATTTTCTACTTGCAAGTCCGTCTGCAGATGCTTACGACAGCAACACGTGTTGTATTAGAGGTGAGGCTTTTGATTTGAAGACTTGACTGTGAAAAGGTCCCTAATGGCATGGGTCCTTATTTAGTCTCCATCGTCCTCAGGTTCCCTTAGCATCTCCTGTCCTTAGCCCAGTCCTTGAATAATATGAGGCCTGGTTGTTGGGTGGTATGTCCTTTTAAACAGCACGAGCAATTAATTCCCTCCCTCTCTTTTAATAGAGGTTCGGATCGCTGCGGTTGAAGCCCTCTGTATGTTGGCTCAGTCGTCGCCTTCTTTTGCGGAGAAATGCCTGGATTTTTTGGTTGACATGTTTAATGATGAAATTGAGGAGGTGAGGTTGCAGTCAATACACACAATGAGAAAAATTTCCAACAACATCACGCTGCGGGAAGATCAGCTGGATACTGTGTTAGCTGTCTTGGAGGTAAGAAATTCTTGAGGGGTGGGAAAATTGCAATCCTGTTTTTTTTTTTGAAGTGTTACAATTACATAATGCTAATCAGCCCCTTCCTCTGAGCTGAAACTGTCCACTTTTGTTGTTGTTGGTTATTTTCCTCTCCTTTGAACACTCCCAAGGGCTCCTAAGGCCTAGTAGCTTGTAATCTCTAGGACAACATAATACTTCTGAAATAGATGAATTTCAGATAAAAGCTCTTTCCTTGATCACTGTAGTGTTGCTTCATATGTGTTTCCTTCTGTCTTGTTTTGTGGTTCATCACTCTGCACCACTTCATATTGAATACAACTTCATTTTCTTTCTGTTTCCTTTGTTCAGCTGCTTTGGCTACACTTTTGCTTACCAAGTAGAGACCGGGCACGGGCCTGAGATCTCTCTTCTGACTGTTCAGAGGGTTTGTTAGCTCTGCAGTATAGATTTGGCCTTTCCCAACCAGTCAGTGCTCAGCCAGGATCCAGGGGACAGCATGAGTCAGCTGCTGTTCCTGGTTGATGGCTTTGATCCAGGAAGGGGAAGAGATTTTGCCTGTATGAACTGTGCTGTCCCAAACTGCTTTCCCTCAGACCTGATTTATTTGCTGAGCTATAGCCCCTGAGGTGTGTTTTTTGATTCTGCTGCGTGTGGTAGGCAAGTTTCTGCTTCTTTTGGGTAGTCTCCCAGCCTTGGGCGGTGCTGCAAATCGGCTATTTCTGTCTTTTCACCTGCTGTTTGCATGACCCGGGGGAACAGTGGCTTCTTTCAGTTGTGCCCCAGGAAGAAGCAACTACCTAACCTATTTTATCAGTTTAACAAATGCTATGGAATATGATCTGAAATTGCAAACGCAGCAATGAGTTTTAAGCACGTCACGTTTTTATGTAGCTTTGTTTGTTCAAGCTGGGGACTTGTGCATCAAGGTATAAAAATGTCCTAGTTAGACTGGGGTTCTGTCTTACACTTCTGTGCTGACTTACCATGTATGACAAATCAGTTATGTATTATGGTTTATATTATCATAATTATTATCAGGTATTAGGGTAGCTAAAGTGTGAGAATGATTAATATTTTAATGGGTTTGTCTGATTCTGAAAGGTGCTTTCTTGCTTTCTGTAAAATTTATCTTCCAGTACCAAAATAAAGGATTTGGAAAAATAGCATTCACTTTGGTGCCTAAATTTGTTCTGAGAGTGTAAATACGGAACAGTTGGGGTTGTGGTAACTTCTGTTTTCACCCCACCACTTTGACTTTATCTTAGTAACTCTACCAGCTATTCCTTGCTTTTCTGACCAGGCTTTGGATTCTGCTTTCCCTGTTGTCCTTGACCTCAGTTTCTGTTGAGGTACGCTCTTCTCTGTCCCTTCATATTCTTCTGCCTCACTTGTCTCCGTACTGCCCTTCCAGTGGTCCGTGCAATTCACCTGGAGTATTTTATCTCCAGGGTCATTTCATTCCAGTCCTTAGAGTACATCTTCTCTTTTGGTCATAGTCTGCCTTCCACCACCAAAATAAGGAACGGCTGAGCAGCCCTGCTGTGCTTTTCTCCTTTGGTGATTTGTGTGTGTTGGCCGTCACTTAAGAGCCTTTACAAGAGGACTGCTCTTTCTTCTCTTGTGTAAGACAGTGATGAATGAGCTGTTGACACTTAGGAAATTATAATTAAAAACAAAAAAATCCACCATTGAAATGCATCCAGTTCTTGTATCCTGTCAAATTTTCACACTCTATCCAGCAGTGCCACACGAATGCTGATAGCAAAGAAGTGTAATGCATTGATATGGAACAGCAAGGTGGTTTTTGGCAGAAGGAAAGTAGTTAATTAAGCTGGAGTTCAGCCACAGCATTTCTAAAAATACTGCCTGGAGATTGCATAAACTCCTCAGTACAACGTCACCCTGGCCTAAAAAATAAAATGGGTGCAATGTGACTTTAGAAGTGGTACATTGGGGATCCCATACGATCACAACAAAGTTCTTGACCGAACCTGTAAGTGTATTTTGGTTTTTTTTCTTGTCTGTCTATAAACCCGTAGTTAGGTCAAGTTCCTTTATCCTATAGATGATCACTGTTAATCTAGTCTGTGCAGCCATGGACATGTCCTCAACGCTTACGCAACCCCCCTGCAGGCTCGTGACTGGGTTAAAGGCTTGTGGAATTGAGCTTCAGCTGTTGAATGGTAAAAGGCTACTCCGAAGATGATAAAACAATCTTTGGTGATTGTTTTGCTGAGTTACTCAGCGCCTTCCTTTTCTGTTGTTGCCTATGCCTAAGGGTACAACATCACCCAAACCAAATAGTGATTTTTGCTCTGCTCGAAGGTCAGCGGTGAAGCAGTTCCCATTCATTCCAGTAAATGAAGCACCTGGGTGGACGAGACCAGCAGGAGCCTCTGCAGCCGTTGCCTGGTCTGTCACTTCATCTGTGCTTAGCTATGATTACTAGAAATGTGCGCTGTTTTTTATGTGCCTTTAGTACTAATTCAGACAAGGAACAGGAACGGTATATGCAGGCACATCTTCTCTCTTGGCACTCAAAGGTATCTGGGTGGGTTTTTTTTAGGATTCTTCAAGGGACATTCGGGAAGCGCTTCATGAACTGCTGTGTTGCACCAATGTCTCAACTAAAGAAGGCATCCATCTTGCACTGGTGGAGCTGCTGAAAAACCTAACTAAGTATCCCACAGACAGAGAATCCATATGGAAGTGAGTGTGTTCAGTGTCCTCGTGTGTCTACTTATTTTCCTATTCTTTTTAGTAATTGAGGTGTTAGGCAAATATTGAGCTAGCTAAAGAGGTAACAGGTATTGCAGGTATACAATCTTGTTATTCTATACATATTTGGAATAGTGGCTATACTAAGTATTGTACATAGTCATGGCTGATGTAGAAACTCTGTGTTGTTCTTGCTTGTCGATACCTGTACTGGGGGAATCCAGAACTGATGACTGCTCCTGGAAATAACCCTCTATTACAAGCACTCAAAACATTCCCAGAAAAGATGAATTCAACCTTCAGTTTAAAAGGTTCTCTTCTATGCAACTAATGTTTTGTGCTTACTTGACACTGCATTAAATTGTAATGTTTACCAGCAGCTGATTATATCAGGATTGGCTATGTGGCATTGTGCAGTTGGAGGGACTTTTTCTGTCTGAGCAAAAATAATTAACGTTTGTGTGGGGTTTTTTTGGTTGTTTAATGGAAGCAACAAAGGAAGTGATGCTCCAGCACACATGGTTTGAAATGGAATTCTTTGATATTATTGGAAACACTTATTTTAGTCTGCTTTGTCTTCCAGTGTACTCTTACATTGTTTTTGGAGTTTGGTGGAGTTTGGCATTTTGGGGTTTTGTTATTTGGTTGGGTTTTTACCTCCTCACTCCTTTATTTCTGAAGAAAAAAATACACTCATTTGTTAGCGTTTAGTATGAAAACTTTTCTTGGGTTGAGTAGCTCCAGGTGTTAAGTATTTCTTGGACAGTTTAAATAAACAATTTTTATTGCTGCTTGCTTTTTCAAGCTGTGCTCTCAGTTTTCTTGGATCCTATCAAATATTAATGCAAATACTCAGCTGTGAAGAGACAGTAGGCTTGGACAGTAGGATTTTGGTGCTGACCAGTGCCTCAAAGTGCCGCTGCAACATAACGTAATAATGCTTTAAAATGTTGTATTTTGCAATGTACATGTTTACTAAGAAATATTTCAATCTGTGTATTTTCAGATGCTTGAAGTTCTTGGGAAGCAGGCATCCCACTTTGGTGCTTCCGTTAGTCCCAGAGCTGCTGAGCACACATCCGTTCTTTGACACTCCAGAACCAGACATGGATGACCCAGCCTGTATCTTTTTAATGAAGCCAGTTGATTGTTTTGACTGTAATAGATTTTATTCATATTTTCCTGATGCTCACATCGGTTAAACCATTTCAAACTGTAGCAGACAATCCTGTAGCTATTTCTGAATCCTGATGCCACTTAGTTTTATTACTCAACAAGTGGTGGAATAACTGTTATCTAGAACCATCTTCATAAATACCAATGTAGTATAATTGGCCTTTTTTTATGCTGTGATAAATGATCTGTTCATCAAGCAATTTGTCAAGGTTTAGGCGTTGCAGATGAGTCCTTTTGATGTGAAAATGTTTGTCTAGTTTGCACTAATTTTGAAGATGCTGTAGCTTCTAAATAAGAAGAGTGGCTTTACTTGTCTGTTTTCTTTTTAGATAAAACTTCTCCTACCCTCACTGTTGTTCAGTGTACAGAACAGCACCGTCTCTTAGTACAGCAGTGGCTGAATCCCCATAATGCTATAAATTTATCATCTTTTTGAAATAATTCAAAATCGGAAATCCTTATATTAACGTTAGCTCTTCTAGTGCTTTAGAATACAAACTATTATTGTAATACCATTATCCTTAACAATAGGAGATGCCTTGGAAATGCGAAATACCATTTTTCCATTGTTCATTCTCCTTGCTTCCCTTCTGTGTGATTGTAGAATGTAATGTTATTTCTGATGCATGCTGAGACATGTTAGACTGGAACAACTCTCTTCCTCTGTGAAGCTACTCCTTATTTCTCTCACCAGTCACAGGCCATCAGCTAGAAATTCTATACAGATTAAATAAATATCTAGTGAGAATTGCAAAGGGCTAGAATTGGGTGGAGAGAAAGATTAATCCATAATCAGATGGTTGAGTAATAATTTGAGTAAATTTGTTCTATGAGTTGAGAATTGAAGGAACATTAGGGCAGGGAGAAAGCTGTTATTTAGCTCAATGCACCTTCCT